CCTTTGTTCGATGACTCGCAGCCAAAAGCCGCTGCTGCGAGGGTGACCGGAGTTCCTTGACCAGATCGCCAAGGTATCGTGGTTCATTTGTGGCAAGCACTTTGTGTGTAATGAATGCGGCCATATAATGTATGAAATATAATTCGGATTTAATTGATAATTGGTTTTTTACCCTTTTATCTGGCAACAAAACTGACACCTTTTTTTACAAGGAGTGATGTTTACATTGACCACAATACCTGCGGTCGGAACGCAAACAAAAAACAACTCTGATAATGTATGTACTTCGATTTAAAGCTTTCGTGACTGCAAGGATTCGTCTTCTTTGGTTCTTTCGGTAAAGTCACGTAGAATGAGAATAAAATAATAAAATAAAACAATAAAATTCTCACGACGTTTCGGCCACAACACAAGTGGCCTTCTTCAGGTGAAAGGAACAAACCTGTCGGGACGACAGAGCTACAATGTTGGACCAGAAGACGCCAAAAGGCGCACAACTCAAAAACTCAATACTCTGATAGTGCGCTGTTTTTGAGTTGTGCGCCTTTTGGCGTCATCTGGTCCAACACCATGTGAGACGAGGCTCTAAAGAAAGCTGTCTCGGGTGTGGACCAATCAATTTCAAGGACAGTGCCACATACATTATCAGAGTTGTTGTTTTTTGTTTGCGTTCCGACCGCAGGTATTGTGGTCAATGTAAACATGACTCCTTGTAAAAAATGTGTCAGTTTTGTTGCCAGATAAAAGGGTAAAAAACCAATTATCATATTTTGTTACTGGCAAATGAGGTTTCCAATGGTCGGATTGAATTGTCAGAAATATTTAATTTGTGTTCTTCTAATTATTATTATGACTGTTCTCCTTAGATATATATAGTCATCTTTGTGACCAATGTGATCTTAGAATCCGGTTCTGTTCTGCAGAATTGAACTATTTTTGAATGGCCTTTATGGTTGTCAGTAGCTTCAGACCTGAAAGCCCAACGACCTATATATTATATTTTACGGCGTTAATGATGAACCCAAGTTAAGTATTTTAACATGCAACCGTGCAAGTTACAGCCAATCGTATAACTACTCGACTGTACTTGTTGTTGTTGCCCTTTGGAAATGAAGCATAGCCAAGTACGTGTACGAAATATTTTAAAGAGAAAACAACGCCGCAATGAAAGCACGCGTGTGTCCAGCATGTGCATGTGGCGTGTGTACACGTGTGAGGAGAGAGCATGCGTGCGTTCGCACACGCAGTACTTAATATCAGCTGGAGTAGTCCGAGGGAGCTGGTAGCATAATGGTTGGCGCACTGCGCTCCGAACCCAGAGACCCGCCCGCGGGTGTGTGATGCCGCGGTGGCTAGGAGATGTTAACTACCTCGCATGGTCTACAGGAAGTCGTGGTTTCGATCCCGACCCTGACGATGCCTGCTGTTGTGTATTTTGGAGTTTGCGTGTCTCATCATCATCACGGTGGCTAGATGTTAACTACCTCGCATGGTACACAGGAGGTCGTGGGTTCGATCCAGACCCTGACGCCTGCTGTATATTAGGAGTTTGCGTGTCTCTCTCTCATCAGCATCACGGTGGCTAGGAGATGTTAACTTCCTCGCCTGGTATACAGGAGGTCGTGGGTTCGATCCCGACCCTGACGCCTGCTGCTGTATATTTGGAGTTTGCGTGTCTCTCTCTCTCATCATCATCACGGTGGCTAGGAGATGTTAACTTTCTCGCCTGGTATACAGGAGGTCGTGGGTTCGATCCCGACCCTGACGCCTGCTGCTGTATATTTGGAGTTTGCGTGTCTCTCTCTCATCATCGTCACGGTGGCTAGATGTTAACTTCCTCGCCTGGTCTACAGGAAGTCGTGGGTTCGATCCCGACCCTGACGCCTGCTGCTGTATATTTGGAGTTTGCGTGTCTCTCTCTTATCGTCATCACAGTGACTAGGAGATGTTAACTTCCTCGCCTGGTATACAGGAGGTCGTCGGTTCGATCCCGACCCTGACGCCTGCTGTATATTTGGAGTTTGCGTGTCTCTCTCTCATCATCATCACGGTGGAGGGGAGATGTTAACTTCCTCGCCTGGTATACAGGAGGTCGTCGGTTCGATCCCGACCCTGACGCCTGCTGTATATTTGGATTTTGCGTGTGCCTCTCTCTCATCATCACGGTGGCTAGATGTTAACATCCTCGCCTGGTCTACAGGAGGTCGTGGGTTCGATCCCGACCCTGACGCCTGCTGCTGTATATTTGGAGTTTGCGTGTCTCTCTCTCCCCGTAGTCGCGTGAATTTTTCTCTGGGTCCTCTGGTTTTTTCCCCCGCCACATTTAGAAACGTGCGTTTACAATATTTGGCTGATATAAATGTCCACGTGATAACGCCACTACGTTGGGGCAATCATTTGCGGCCAGGTCGCTTCTGAAAAAAACAGCGATACAGCTCAGTGGGCCCTTACCTGGTAGAATAAAAACAAAAAAAATACTGTAGTTCGTAGTAGTTTCACCGTGTTGGGCTGCTCTCCGAGTTATCATGCACGAACAATGTGGTTTATAAAGGAATGCGTTAGCTCGTATTGACCACGCGTGGCGGGCTTGGCTCGACCAGCGCGTGGTCCGTCAGTGTGGCCTGGGGTGGTTACAAGGCCAGCGTCGTTACTGCCGTTGGGAGAACTAAATCGTGCGTCGGATCTGTGAGCACCGAGTGTGAGAGTTCACGCGAGTTATTGAGTTGGATGGGTACTGGCCTTTAAACAACAACAAAAATCCGTAACATTGGCACCCATGTGAGCGCATGCGGGATCAGCGATTACGGGCAGGAGATTATTTTGGCGGACGGTGAGTGTCCTCCCTGTGCACGTACTGTATGTTGAACTTCTTTACCACCGTACGTAGCCAACCGTGGCTAAATCGGAGGTGCCTGGAGGGAGTCAACCATCGCAGGCTTTCGATCGCAGGCAAACGTCTGTACGCGGTATGGACCTGAAAAACTCCCATTTCCCTGCACAAGAATACGGGTTATCGTATGGGCCTGACACGGTGTGGTGTTGGTGTTCCTCTTCCATTGAAGGAGCGCAGACGACAGTAGGTTTACCCTACGGTCCAAAGTTTGTGTTACACGACCACAACGGCACCGACTGGACTCTCTTTAATGTTCAATTTCTAAAGGATGAATGTGCATCAGTCCTTTGTTCTGCGTGCTGGGTGAATGGCTACGCCTGTGTGGCTTGCGAGGAACGTCAAAGTCGAGGAGTTTGAGACGTTTATTCCGGACGGCCGCATTGACGCACTCTGTTCGCGCAGCGTTCATCCAAAATATGGCTGAGATTCTCGACCGCTCGTGGGGAGTGCTGTTTGTCTGTGGGCATCGATGAGAGCGGTGGCTCTTCATTGCAGGGCCCCGTGGGTTACTGGCGGCCCCTGATGGCCTTCAGTGCGGCCCCTGACGTGCGGCCCCCGAAAGCGACAGTGCACGAAGAGTGAAAACACCCCCCCTCCCCCATCATCATCGTGCTGCTGTCAAACCCCACAATGGTTTCGAATGTGTACCAACTTGATGAATAAAAGCAAACACAACTACAGCAGTAGGTGGCAGTCTACGACAACATTATGCTTGCACACCCCGTCAACCACAACATGACTGCATTAAGGGTTGCATTATGTTGTCTTGCAGGCGGTGTGGCGACCCTCAACACACTGACGATGTCTTATCGGCGATAGTGGGCTCCCCCCCCCCCTCTGAAAATGAGTGAAGAACACTGGACTAGGGCCAGTTACGTACCGCGCAGCTCGGAGTGAAACCCACGGAGTAACGCCTCCTCTGCGTTTCCTCACTTCAACCGATAACAACAACGCGCTGAGTATTCATGGCAATGTCAACGAACATTCGGGCGACTTTTCACGACCCTCCCGTCCTATTCAGTGCACCTCCACCAACGTGGAAACAAGGCGAGCAGTCATATCACGGCGTGGGTGGGAGGCATTAGCATCGAGTGAGCGATCTGAACAACAGCACGCTTGTACGCAAGTGGCTCGCCGTCCTTCGAAAGCAGGGGTGGGGAACTTTTTTTTTTCCGGCCAAGGGCTATTAAGATATTTATAACATCATTCGCGGGCCATACAAAATTATCAACTTAAAAATTAGCCCGTTATATTTGGTCAAACATTTAATTAACTCACCCCTAATGCGATGGCTGGAACTGCTTCTCTTTGGCGAGGCGTGTGATGATGTTAGCTGGTATTGACGATGGCGAGGCGTGGTGATGATGTTAGCTGGTATTGACGATGGCGAGGCGTGGTGATGATGTTAGCTGGTATTGACGATGTTGTTGCTACTCGCAACTTCTTTTCCAGGTTTGCTCCACCTAGATTTATTGAATTTCGAGTCCAAGCCTGCGGTTGCCTTGGCAGGGCCAGACCCAAATGATTTCGCGGGCCCTATACGGCCCTAGAGCCGGACGCTCCCCACCCCTGTTCTAAAGCCTAGCTGTCAACCCACACGGTTTACCCTGTATTCTCGTGCAGGGAAATTGAGTTTTCAGGTCCATACGGCGTACAGCCGTTTCAATACGGGCAAAAAAACATGCTTTTGTCTATGTGTTTCTCCCTTGTGATGGGACTTTGTAGAATGAACGTTGAGATTTATAATGACACGGGGTGACCAATAAGGTCTGAATTGGTCTGTAAAAAGGCAGGCACTGATTAGGGGTAGACAGGTACACTTAAGGTCAAACAGTTGAGCACATTATTTTAATTCGGCAAATCTGGGCTGTGCCATCGATGTGGCAGCAGGGTGAATCCCAACCTGGCATTAGCCTCTTGATGCCCTCCGGCTCATGTTGGCCTATCACTATCCTAGTCCGCCACTGTTATAGTATTTAATAATTATTAGCCATCTAATAAATGTCTATGACAGCCAGCCAGCAAACAAAACTTTTTTTTTAAATTAACATCGCATGATGTGGAGAGATTAACACATTGACAAGCACGATGCATGACACCCTAATTCTGAGTTTTACAAAAGCAATTAGGTAGATTTATTGAATTAAGAATGTATCAACAAATGACAAAGTCCTGACATCACAATTGGCCCACGATGACAAGGCCACGAGTTTAAATCCCAGACAGGGTCGTCTCAGCTCGTCATCTTCCTCGGTGGATAAAATAGACTTGAAATGAGCATCACTCACTCTCTTCTAAGCCACCAGTAGCTGTTGCATGAGCAGAATATAGTCCCTGCCACTGTCACGTGGAATTTCCACCACTCCCTCAAGACCACTTGTGGAGATGAGCATTTACCCAATGCTTAAAAGAGCATGTGAACATATGATAAGATGTATCTAGGAGACATCCAACACTCGGGCAATGAGGATAACAGAAGAATAAGATCTGTTACGATCTCCAAACGAACTGCAAAGCTGTTTGTACTGCCTTCTGGTCATCCTTAGCAATGAGTGATTTCGAGTTCAATATTAAGGTAAACGATTAGGAATACAGTACATATATATTTTTAAATGGCACCCAAACAAACTAATAATAAACCTTACCATGGCTTGAACCAAATCAACGAAGCTTGTCTGAAAACCCTGACTATGCCATCGAGTTAACATTTGCATGACGTTCGATGTAATAATTCGGCAGTCTCTTCTCTCTGTAATCAGAGATGCACAAGGGGGGGGGGGGGGGGCAACAGGACAAACAAAAGCAAAGGTTGCCCTCCACCACAGCAAAACAAATTGTTGTATGGCCATTAAACATCAGACCCTTTTGAGATTGCTCATCAATGTATCGTAGTGAATAAACCAACAATTCTTGATTTACATACATATATATCAGAGTATACGATGCATATCGACTTTATAGGCTAATCAACTTTGTTTCGCAAAATGTCCATTCTCCCTTTTGAGACGATCACCTGGGTGTTGTCGCGGTGTGTAACGTTGGAGCACCCCAGTGCCTATGGCTAGCATCCATCCCAGCCAGAGAGAATCCACAACACTCGCGTGCCAGCAAATAAAACAGCAATAAATCACTGGGGTTCCAATTAGAATAACCCTACTTACATTATTTGATTTAAAAAAACCCCAATAGATCATCGTTCCCTGCACCTAAACGTGCGTAATTGAAAAAAAATATTACCATGTACGCATTTGTCCGTTTCTTGGGTGGAGTAAATATATATTTGATCAGGTAGTTTTCTATACCGTCTTATCAATATGCAAAAAAATAAATGGTGCTTATTTGAGCAAATAAGCGACATGGAAACCCACTGATGGACATGCAATAGAAGGGTTAATGTGATATACGTTTCAAAAGCCACAAAGCATCAAGGGAAGACCACATCACTCTGTGAACAGATTCGTGAGCATATTATGCACAATACTGTTTTAGGGAATTTACAGGGCTAAAAAAGCAATGAATTTAAAATACTGTCGATTTCCATTTGAGAGTTGATTAGTGGAGTAACGGTCATAAAGTACCTTTGGGGTTAATATTCAGCACAGCTGCCAATTTTACAAGGCACCTGCTCATGACAAGGACTTTATATAACCGGGGAAGGCTCACAGATTCGGATACTATCCGAGTCGGGGGTCATTGTTTTCATTGGAGGTTCCTAGCCTATCATAGCAATTCCACATTCCTCTGACGGGCACCAGTCGCTCCAAAAAGATAACCATACCTCGAAACTCCCACAAAGTGTGGTACTCGTTTATTGATGCTGTAAAAATGATGGGACCCGTCACCCCCTCCCCATCCAGGATAGCAACGCGCATCCAACCAAATCAGTCGATTTCTCTCACCCAGGGCTCGGCAAACTGCGGCACCTCAGCCGCATGCGGCTCTTTGGCTTCACCCCCCCCCCCTCCCGGGCAGCAGCCGCTTTATTATAGAAGAAAATCCCCCATGTATCTTAAACGTAATTTGACGCAAAAATAAAAATCAATTGAATCAATATGACTGGGAATGAGTCACAATGGAATTTTTTGGTGACAACACAATGTACCGTTAAACTGGTATTATTAAAGATTAACTAGGGGGGGTGGGGGGCTAAATAGACGCAGTTTATTCCATCACCTATTTTGTGTTTGCGTGTGCGTACAAGTAGCTCTGCGTGTGATGCGGCTCTCCAACTATTTTGGTCAACGACAAAAAAAACTCCTGCTCTAGTCACACACATTTGCCAGTGTTGCTGTTACTGCTTTGGGATTTACCGCATTCTCCAGAATTCTAAAAACGCTCTGGGAAACACGATGCACCCCAATCTTTTGTGCGAGAAAATGTTTTAATGTAAAAGTGCGTTTAATCTGGAGAATACAGTAAATTGCCATGCAGAACCGGCTCCCAGATTAGGATGACGATTGCGCGAATTTACAATTAAAAAGGGGGGGGGGGGGGGAATGTCTTCTGGAAGAGGATTTCGTACTATCGGTGGGGGTAGTGTCATCTGCACTCTGGGAGGTCATGTGTTACAATGGAGAACCGCCTTCTGGAAGATGATCCTGAACAACTGGTTTAATACACGTCTCCCAGAAGACACGTACTCACGGACATTGTCATCAACATTCGGCTTAGTTTACTCGGGAAAGTCACGCAGAGTCCCAAGATAGTTTTCAAGAGGGCCCTGCTACGTTCCGCAGTAGGGGGTTGACGATTGCCGTTTCACAATCCAGCATCTTCTCAAATCTGGGGCATTTGGACCGTGATGCTGGCACACGATGGCCGAACGTCTTGTAACGCAAAGGTGGGTCGTGTAATTCAGCGACTAAGTCGATGGAAACACGACACGTGTTGTTTCGGAGGCTTTTTTTCACAGATGTGCACGACATGCCCTCTGGTGGACCGCGAGATGTCTTGCAGATCACTGGAATGTGTAGTCGACACAACCTAGACATTAATTCATGGCATCAGCACGGCGCTTTATGCTTTTTGTACCGTCTCGTCTGTACTGAAATTTGGATCTGTTTATGTTGTTGTATTTTTTTCTCGTTTGATAAAATCTCGCTGTCTCTCCAATACCGTGCCCCATATCCCTGTGCCGTGCTGGTCCATGCATGAACGTTACACATTAGCCAACAATTGTCACGTCATTATCATAGCAGATGAACGAGGCTGCATCGTGACGGAACAGAAGCCCAAAAAAAGCCACATCTGAGAGGATGACCACCGTGAACGCATTCCCGTTGACGATGACAAAGAATCGACAAGAATCAATTTTGGTGGCAAAGCAATTTTAAAAGGCGTGTATCGTTTGGACAAAGAATCGATTTTCATCAGTGGATTGTTCTGGCTCTTAATATTTAGCACAATCGCAGAATTGGTTGATAAATTGCGTTAGGGGTTTCAAGGGCCTTACGACCTCAATCTTACCCGTTTTTATTTCATTAGTCCGCTACAAGTGCTGCCTTGTTTTTTGTTTTAGACGACAAATCACGGCTGGTCGCTCCCACACTGAGACTCGTAAACCGAACGCGTAGGTTTTCAAGGCCACTATTACGATTCAGAATTGTTTATTTGGGGTTTTAATGCAAGTAAAAGATGCCTCTAAACATTCGAGAAGTTCACCAGCATTGATTCAAGCAATCCTGACTGCTGACAAGGACATTGAATCAATGCTGCTGAAATGACGGCCTCCCAGATCATTTGGACTGATGAGTTGTTATAATACTTTTATTTTTCTGTGTCGAAAGACAGATGTGTGAAGGTGACATATTGTCCTCTTTAACATTTTGTCACTCAACTTTGATCAGATGATTCATTACATAGCCTAACCCAAATATATTATGAATCGGTGAGACTCGTGTTTTTTGACATTGCAGTAACAGGCACTGGCCATCGGTCATCGATCACTGCTCCACATCCGCCCACGCCGTTGACCCCACGGCTGCAATAGCAACATTGGCTGACGGAACGCGCCTGCAACCCATCGAGGTCCATCGCAGAGATAGACGTCTGTATACAGAGTAAGAGGTTGCACTTATACAAGTGGCCTTTGGGCGCGCTCCCGCACAACTGCGATCCAAATACTGTGTGTTCAAGCGCGCATTGGTCAAGAGCTGCCAGTACAGCGTCACTGCATCGGTCGCGCGTGCCAAGCAAAACGAACGAACGGGGCCTCGGGCATGATTTCCGTTTGGCGCGCTCACGCCAAGTCTAAGCACATCGCTCGATTCTCGAATCCCGCAAGCAGCCGTCTCAACAGCTCAGCGACACCTCCCTCAGGCAACAGCAGGGGGAGTGTGCGCTCCACCAATAATTTTTTCCATGGCTATCACACCGGCAGTCATCCCTCGGCGATGCCGAATTGAGTGCAAACACAAACATCAGTTGGGAATCATCGAATCCAATATGCATCAGAAGCCGATTTAATTGCGAGCGGCTGGCTCCCGGATTAGAAATCAGTATCCCCGCGTCACTGGACCAATGCCGACGTTCAGGACGCCCTCCGAGCAAATGTTCAGATCCCACCGATCTCAACCATTAGGTGCCTTCAGAGGTACACGTTCAACACGTCCTGCCGCTGATGTCCGTCAAAAAACCATTCCGATAAATTAAAACAGTGGCAGATTCCATTCTGCGTCGATGTAACCAAGACCTGTTCTTTGGTTAACGTAATAAGAATAATAATTACCCGTCGCATACTCGGGCATACGCAATTGTGCGGTGCATTAGGCCGGACATAAGCAGAACTGGAAAAAAAAATAACCCAAGTAAAGCTGCCAGTGGTCAACCGACCTTGGATGGCGGCATGGCCTGCTCGTGGAAGTTTCAGCCTTGCAAAAGCAGCAATGCCATACCATTGCCATGTCACGCTCGGAGTTTGTGTCGAAATGTACACTGGCGGTGTTAATCTTGGCACCTTGCCATAACTGCACACTGGGATTGCTGTGCTCGGCATATTTGATAAAGTGTGAAGTCTCCAAGTGCCGCAAGTTACTCTTCTACCATATTTAGCATTTTTCTGCCCATCGTTGGCTTTAATTATATTGGACCTATTATATTGGCATGAGTTGCAATCGTAAATATGCAGGCTCTCGCATACTTAGAACACGGATTAAATTTCAATGTTTTCGTACGACCGTGTTCGTACCATCATACCAATCAAAGGCAATTTGAAACTTAAACTTTACTAAAACGCAATTTGGCTTTGCATTGGGCTAAAACAAACGGTGACAACATTTTTTTGGAATCATTTCAAAATCTCAATTAGGTAACGTTTTAACAATCGACCCGTGTTCGCGCATTCGAACAGGGCGCGCGTACAAATCATCTCGCACGCTGCGAGGCGGCGTTCAGGTTTAGTCGTTACGAACGCCCCATCGGCGAAGGCGTGTGCCGTCGAACGCATCCCATCGGCGCGCGTGCCGCGGCCCGTCCGCTCAGTGGCTAGAGTCGACCGTGTGCGTGAAACGGGGATCCAACTTGAGGTCAAACTCCTTGAAGTCCCGTGAGGCCTGGGTCCCAAACGCGTCCAGAGCCTTCCGGTTCATCAGCGCGAATCTGCGGTGGCATCATCGATCATCATGATCATCATCATCATCATAACCAATCATCAATCAACGCACCTCCGATTGGCCACGGTTGGCTACGTACGGCGCGAAAGAAGTTCAACGTACATTCGTACATTAACAACCATCGTGTAGCTGTGGTGCGAGACAGACGGTGATGCACAGCGTTGAAGATTGTCCGTGACCCAAGCTAAGGGGCGACGCCGCGTACTGCAGATGGTGAAGTTTCCGCTTGACTTGTATGTATGTCGAAGCTCTTTCGCACTGTACATAGCCAACCGTGGCGGCTAATCGGAGGTGCGGGGAGGAGGTATAACCAACTAAACACAAGAAACAGTTCTAAAGAAATGAGTTTTCAATCTATATTTAAAAGTACATCGCTCCCAGTGGCTTCCTAATGTTGGAAAGAAGAGCGTTCCAGACGGCTGCAAAAGTGCATCTGAAAGTGCGCAATGCAGCGACTGCCTTGGCGCAAATGCTAAATAAATATAATCATCAATCATAAACATCATCATTATTATCATCTTTGTCATCGTTTATAATCAGCTTTAATTATCATTCATCATGGTCATCGTTATCATCACCAATTATCATTCACCATCATCAAACATCAACCATCATCGTCCACACTGTCATCAACTTACATGTCCAACAGCATTGTCAATCCAGTGCTGGATGAAGGCCTTCCCACGCTGTGCGGGTGTGAGTTTTTCTTTTACTACATTCAAACGCGCTGGCATAGCGTGCTCGCCACGTGGGTTCGCAGGCCTGCTTGAGAAATGAACCTCAAGGCGGATCTCGTTCCAGGTTGCCCAAAAGTCACACCCTGCGAATTCTCGAGCCGCACGAAAGCGGCTCGTCGAAGAAATCAAGCGTGGCGTGGAGAAGCCTCCCGAGAAGTTCTGCGAGGCTGCCCTTGTTTAAGCCCTCGTTTGCCAAGTGCCTTGGGTTTTCAGTGTTGTGCAGATAAGTTGAACTGCGGAGATTTTGAAGAACTTTGCGATTACTCTTCACGCAAGGCTCGATACAATAACCACTGAACTACTGACGGACACTTTTACAAAGTGTCCCGTTAAACGTTTCGATATTCTCCACATTATGTGTGTGTGGGTGACCAGACGTGGGGAGCGGTAGTGTACCGGTTTAAGCGCCGCGCTATGAACCCGGCGACCCTGGTTCGATTCCCGCTCACGGCCAACACCAGTGACGATTATCTGAATCGGTTCTGGGCCTCTCCTGGGTCGACTCAGCCTCAAATAATGTTTTACATTTATTTGTAAGGCGTCTCAAGGCATCTCAAGCCTCAAATGAGTACCTAATGCGTTGTTTAAAAATCGCCACAAAGACGGCTGGGTGTCGTCCTGGTCACTCAACCCCTTCGTGTGCCGTGCCGGCCCTCATAGGTGCTCGCTAACAACACTTGCCTTAACAGTCTGTTAAAGGCTATAAGGGGGATCTTTATCGTTGACCGGACCTGTATACACTTATCGACACCGCGCAACAGGCTTCGGAGGCATCTTACTCCCGGAGGCATCTTACAACCCAGAGATCGCGGCAGTTAAACAGGGGAACAAACGCAACGCCGAGAAGGGCAGCGGAGACACGAACGGCGACCGATTGGGCCGACCTTCACAAATCCCGAGCTTCGTCTGCGAAATCGTTCACAGGTCGCGACAGGCCGGGCGCGCGACGGTCGACTTCGCTTGTCCTGCAGTGCCGAGAGCGCCGCGCGGCTCGTTACTTCAGAGCCGAGGGTTAGCGTGGGGGATTCCGCAGAAAGGAGTCGCAGCGGGCGGTGCGACACAGCATGCTTAGTGCATCGCTCCGATTAACACGCGTGCCGACGTGACGGCCTGGGACGGCAAAATGGAAAACGCTTTTGCTGTGACCCCCCCCCCGCCCCCCCCGCCCCCCCCCCCCCCCCCCCCACCGCAGGGCAGCCACATGGAAGAGTTTGGTGAATCCCCGTGTTTGTGGAGGTCGACACGTTCTGAGATGATGTATAGTATATATCAGAGAAACGCACTTATCACGTTACTTTTCCGCTCGTGAGAATTTGTATAATTATCACGAGCGGGGGGTGGTGTGGTCGCCAAGAGTGGATCGAGTGGCTGCTTTAGTTGACTAGCCAGGCGGTGGTGGCTATGCATGTGGCCCGTAATCCAGAACTCTGTAGGCGAGGGTTGGTGGTCCGGACAAATGTTGTCAGGCTCCCTTCCCGTGGGCGTTGACGTATCATACCCTGGCTTGCCAGAAGGCAGTACAGAAAACGTGCGGACTATCCGTTCCGTCTGTATGGGATAAGAGTTTTTCCACCTTACACATGCGTGGATTTTCTCCGGTTGTCCTGGATTCTTCACACATGTAATCACTCATTAATTTGCTGATAACACCTTGATAGAGAACCGCAAAGCTTGGGCAATTGTTGGCGCGCTGGCCCATTGCGTGGCTGCCTTCCCCGCTTGTCTGTGATTCCTCCTCGCGCCTCCGAGCCGTTCTCTCTCTACGAGAGCGAGCGAACACTGTCCAGCACAGCACAAGTTGAAGTTATTATGAATAAGAGAATGCCTAAATGAAATCCACAGACTAAGGATTGAATAACATTCCACAGGTGATCATCCACTTGACTAACACTACGCCTAACGTAAAAAAAAAGGTAAATTAACACGGTTGCCATGTGGTGAGCAGCAGAGGGCAGTGTAGCAATACGTCCATTGTTGTACTGTACTTCAATGCTCTCACGTCTATGCTCCCCTCGTTCGCCATCCCACGCTGAACCCAGTGCGGTGGGCGAGGTGCGGTCAACTAGTCCCCACAATCCGCATGGCACGGGGAGGCCTTCATCCAGCAGTGGATTAACAAAATCAGCTGGACACGTGTACATGTGTAAGTGTACCCACACATACACTCCCATATGCCTGTTAAAACACCCCCCCTGCCAAACCCCCAATAACGTCCAGGCAGCATGGAATGACGAGACGACTACAGCAGCTGTGGTTGTAATGGAATACTTCACAACGCAGAGCCCCCGTGGATTCACTGGAGGCTTGTTGGCAAACATATGGACAAGTTGACCGAGTGAGCATATATACGTTACAATGTTCATACATACCGCACAGGTGATCTTGACAATTTTTTTTATTATAATAAAGTAGGAAAGCTGCCACTTTCGCTAGACTTGAAAATCCTGAAGTCGCCGGTTCGATTTGATCTCGCGGCGTGGCAATTAAAACAACGGGGCAAGTTTTCATTAAACTCACTCCACCTCTGTCCACCCACAGCAGTAGAAATGCGTACAGCAGAGTTAAGTCGATCGGCAATGTCGCGCGCGGTGGGGGTAACGTGTGGGTCCTCCCATCCCTTCCGAGGCGCTACTGGCCAGCGTGGAAGAGTAGGCCAAAAGCTCTTCGAGGGGCTCTCTGGAACACCCAACGCGGAGATGGCGCGTTGAAGTCAGCTCGTGTGCAGGTTGTCAGGTGGATTATTAAATCGCAGAATTGTGAGAGTGATGGTGACTGCTTTGGGAGGGGCCTTCATCTAACAGCGGATTGAGACCATGGTTTATGACGATCAAGCTTATTCAAATACCACAGAAACGTCTCTCGTGGTCCCGTCGTGAATGGCGCTCTTTGCGGATGAAAGTCAGCACCCCTTACAGGTTTTCAGTTCCCACTGTGTTGAAGCGGGCGAATGCATTTGCCAACGATGGGCTCCCCCCCCCCCCCCACCCCCTAGGCCCACAGGTAAACCCTAGGGGGGGTGTTCAATATTTGGTGTGGTTCATTGAATTCACATATTTCAGGCGATGGAGAGCGCAGGGTGCTCTAGACTACCCGGACCCACGCAAGAAGCACATGCACCATCCAACGACGCCCCGAACAAGAATGAGCAGAAACTGCCATTGGGTTGCGCGGCGGATTTGGCACGGCGATATTTTAACCTGTCAAGCATGTCAGCATGTGAGCAGCTGGATCGCACTCCCCATGACAGATGCTGAAGATCGTAAAATATGGAGAGCGAGTGTTTTGGCCACCAACCGTCAGCTATGAGGATGAAACTTGACAAAAAGGTCTACATCAAACCGGGTGCCTGATACGACCGCACAGGGTTTTGCGGTTACGCTTTAAAGTTCTCCGATGCGTTTATAGCCGTCTCGTTTTGTGTCGTACAGCTATAGTGTGCCTGATGATTGTAAAACAGCCTATGGGCAATCCTTGACAAAGAGGCGGGGTGGAAAACAATCAAGGTGACTATGAAGCAATATCCAGTCGCAAAAAAAAAAACTAAACTAACTCGTGTCTTGTTCAGAAGCAGGATTTCTTCATCAGCACGAAAGCCATCGGCACTCAAAGCCAGGCCACAGTATCATCACGTCACCCACGATGACAAGTTTGTAATAGCTACAGCTTTTTTCATAAGAAAATATGCCTCGGCTGTCTCGACCCATCGTAAGCGTTTGACACGACAGATCATCCTTTACTCGTCTCAAGATTTGAAGACTGCACCCCGTCAGTGACGGTTGGTTTTCAAGTTAACTGGAGGGAAGGCAATGGAAATATGGAAGCAACCTATCGAATGTCTACCCCCCCCCCCCCCCCCCATCTACAGGGGAATTGCTCATGGTGCAGTGCTCAGTTCGTTCCTGCTAAACATTGACGTAAACAGCATTAGTTCAGAGTTGACCCACTCCACAGTTCGTTGTTATTCTGAAGAATATTATTTCACAAGCGTCATCGGGAAGCTCACCGAGATCCGGAAGAACGCTGCAGAGTGGAACAATGTGGATGTCCAAATTAAACGCCTCTCATCATTCCTCAGTACAGCACACTGCATTGGATCTTATCCCGACTTCCTTGCAGTTTCCCGATGATGCTTGATGCGGTTTCAAGCGAAACATCGTGGATCTGATTGCTGCTTCGTTTGATGTACCTTCTCCTGCACTTCCAATAAGTACGGCTGTCTATGTACGGTGCGAAAGAAGTTCAATATACATACATTTGGTTGTGATAACTTTTCTTCAACTCATCGGTGAGTGGTGAACTTAAATAACATCTGATACTCTAATACGTGTGTAGGTGTGGCTCTTTCAGACGGTGTAGGGTGCTTACAGAAATTTGTCCACATGATGAGGCGGTCGAACTATAACACGTATTATGAACAATTGTAGTGATCTTGACTTAAAGCTTTCGTGACTGCAGGAATTCATACTCTTTGGGTCTTTCGGTAAAGTCACGTTATTGTTGTTACGATATTCTGCTGATCATAAGTTCGTGACAGACATGATCCTTGTCAATTTGCCTTTGCGATCGAAGTACAATCTGTGGTATATTAAGCTGTCGAATAAACACGAGTGGTACGAGCGTAGTTTGCAGAGATGCTGCTCGTCATGAACATATTTACTTTGAGCGCGAGAACGAATTTCGGCCGCTGAACGGATAAGTCGAAGCTTCCCAACATTTTCACCGGGGGGGGCAGGCGAATTCACCCGCTGTTTTCTCTCTCCTTCTCGACGGCTTCTCGCTCACTACGTACCTGCCCTTGGTGAGCCGCAGCAGGAACCTCCAGTAGGACGGCCTCAGGTTGTGCACTTCCATGACGGCCTTAAAAAAAAACCCACACGGAGAGAGCAAGAGACAACGAGTGGCCCATGCGCCTGTGCCGTGGCAAGCGCTCCCACCGGGCACCCACAGAGCCCAGGGTCGTGCCACGTCCTGACGTGGTTGAGATGTGTGTAAGTAGGTACGTCGGCATTATTTTGCACCGTACGTAGCCAACCGTGCTAATGGTAATTGCCAGCGCTGCGCACTTTGGTCACTGTGGTCTCCTTGGGCGCCGTGGTGGCGGGATGTTAACTCACACGCATGTTTAGCACGTAGGCTTTCGCGACCAATATAATCCATAATACAGGGTTTTTTTTGGGTTAGATCGCGTTGGCATGGTATGCAGGAGGACGTTGGTTCGATCCAGACCCTGAAAGACACCTGTATATTTGGGGTTTGCGTGTTCTCCCCGTGGTCGCGCAGATATTTCTCCAGGTCCTCTGTTTTTTCCCTCTACATTTAGAGTCAACATCACACGTTTTGGAGTATTTGTCTGCTGTAAAATTTCCACGTGATGATAAGCCACTTCGTTGAGATACCAGTTGTGGCAAGGTCGCGTCTGAAAAATAGCTCAGTGGGCCTTAGCTAGAAAAATAAAGATAGTTGATGAAAATTTTGCATAGTTTTTTTGCTGACCAAATCACACAAATACATGTCCAGCATTTCCATCTATCCACTGCTGGATGAGGGGCTCCCCCCGTGTCATGTGCGTCGCGATGGGTAATAATTCAGCCTGGTCACACCGATGACCGCACACACCAAAAAATACCACCACAATAAATTTGGTTTCGAGACTTAATTTGGCTGCATTCCTTCGCTTGAACGAAAATATCTGTTTGACTGTCACACGAAAAAACAAAGCGGGAATGTGCTGCCCCTCTGTTGTGTGGATTAGGTCACTTTATTTTGGTATTTTTCATTAATTTTTCTCTGATGCGTTATGTCTATTACGGAAAGGGTGTGTTTTTTTTTCCTGATGAAACCCAACTTAAGAGCTTCTTAGCTCACGGGGTACTTCAAAATAAACTTAACTCAACTTGAAGAGACCCCAGAGGTAGCTATGTGATATCCGCTTTTGTGGGCCTTTCTCGAAAGTACAGGGTTTACGCTGCTCCGTGACGAATCAGAATCGATACTTGACACCGACAGCGCAATTGGAATACAATTTTAAGGGGTGGGGGGGGGGTAGGGAGGTAATTGATTTTTTGTGTAAAGTACCGCTTGGAAACAGATGGCGGTGGAGATGGCGTAGATGATGGTGTCGGCGTGCGGGAAGTACGGGAAGCTGCCCGCCTCGATCCCCTTGAAGTACAGCGTCTAGACAGCAGGCGCAGGTGACGTTATGTGAGAAATGACTCATCGTGTCAATACACTTTAAAGTGCCCCGTAGTTTTTTGTTTTTGTTTAACGTGGATCGCTCTTGCAACGATGGCTAGCAATATGGTTTGTTGAACAGGGCTGATGAGACCCACAAGGTAGAAGCCGGCTCAGAGTTTGCTTGTTTAAGAACAAAACGCTGCTGGAAAACATTTTTCCAAATGCCTCCATTATCATGTGGAGCATATCAACGTGAAAACTAAGTGAATATGTTCACGCGGCTGAGAAATCGGGGGGAAAGCATCAGAAGACATCGCAAGCACGATGCGCTTGTCTTCGAAGAATTCTGGTAAAGCCCACCAGCATGAAATAAAAAAAGGCAACAAGACTTGGTCAAGTGAACTCCCGATTTGCCCCCTTTGCTCAATCAAGCAACGTCGTGGTGCTCACCTCCACTGGATGGCTCTGAGCCTGTGATGGGAATTGAACGTTCCCATGATGGGGGCCAGTTTATCCGCACAATTGATTTCCCACGGCACCATGAGACGCTTAGACATTTCGCATGGTGACACGGCCCCGTGTTCCACTCCATGCATTGACCGCGCGAGGGATGCTGGGCTGGAAGCATTTAGTCAACAAAGCGTTGTTGAGCTGGGCAGCCTACCTCCACAAGTTTGGAGGACAGGTACATGGAGATGGAGGTGCTCTTGTAGAACATCATCGACAGGCCGGCAACAAAGCCTACGCAACAGAACCAAGGTATCCTTCATTGACGACGCGAAACACATGGGATATGAACCCTGCTCTCACACTGGCCCACTGCCTTGTCTTTGAGGATTACGTGTGTAAGGATGGTGCATGGCCTGGTGGCCGCGTGTAAGGATAGCAGCGATGAGGGCAGGCAGGGTCAAGCGAGGTAACTGGGTGAGGAGTCAATGCGGGGGGGGGGGGGGTAGGGAGGAACCCGCGAGGTGCTGGCGAGGCGAGGAAAAACCCCCGACAGAAGAGGGTTCGGAAAAAGGGGCGTGGCCCGGGCGAAGTGAGATATAAGGGAGCGCGTAGCGGGGGCTGGGGGCTGCCGTGGGGATTCGGGGTCTGGACCGTCGTCGCTGTCATCGCTGTGGATCGCCCTCACCGTCTTGGAAGGCAGGGGAGGGAGTTGTATATCGTCGCCGTGGCTACCACATCGAAGGCTGCTAGATAGTCAGTCAGCTATATAGCGAACGTCGTGTAGCAGCTACGGTGAGGGAAACAAGTCTTTGATCCCTTGCTGATTTTGTACGTTTGCCCACCGACAAGAAATTATCAGTCTATAATTTTAATGGTAGGTTTATTTGAACAGTGAGAGACAGAATAACAACAAAATCCAGAAAACCCATGTCAAAAATGTTATACATTTATTTGCATTTTAATGAGGGAAATAAGTATTTGACCCCCTCTCAATCAGAAAGATTTCTGGCTCCCAGGTGTCTTTTATAGAGGTAACGAGCTGAGATTAGGAGCACTCCCTTTAAGAGTGTGCTCCTAATCTCAGCTCGTTACCTGTATTAAAGACACCTGTCCACAGAAGCAATCAATCAATCAGATTCCAAACTCTCCACCATGGCCAAGACCAAAGAGCTCTCCAAGGATGTCAGGGACAAGATTGTAGACCTACACAAGGCTGGAATGGGCTACAAGACCATTGCCAAGCAGTTTGGTGAGAAGATGACAAAAGTTGGTGCGATTATTCGCAAATGGAAGAAACACAAAAGAACTGTCAATCTCCCTCGGCCGGGTGCTCCATACAAGATCTCACCTCGTGGAGTTGTAATGATCATGAGAACGGTGCTCAATCAGCCCAGAACTACAAGGGAGGATCTTGTCAATGATCTCAAGGCAGCTGGGACCATAGTCACAAAGAAAACAATTGGTAACACACTACGCTGTGAAGAACTGAAATCCTGCAGCGCCCGCAAGGTCCCCCTGCTCAAGAAAGCACATATACATGCCCGTCTGAAGTTTGCCAATGAACATCTGAATGATTCAGAGGACAACTGGGTGAAAGTGTTGTGGTCAGATGAGACCAAAATGGAGCTCTTTGGCATCAACTCAACTCGCCGTGTTTGGAGGAGGAGGAATGCTGCCTATGACCCCAAGAACACCATCCCCACCGTCAAACATGGAGGTGGAAACATTATGCTTTGGGGGTGTTTTTCTGCTAAGGGGACAGGACAACTTCACCGCATCAAGGGACGATGGACGGGGCCATGTACCGTCAATTCTTGGGTGAGAACCTCCTTCCCTCAGCCAGGGCATTGAAAATGGGTCGTGGATGGATATTCCAGCATGGCAATGACCCAAAACACACGGCCAAGGCAACACAGGAGTGGCTCAAGAAGAAGCACATTAAGGTCCTGGAGTGGCCTAGCCAGTCTCCAGACCTTAATCCCATAGAAAATCTGTGGAGGGAGCTGAAGGTTCGAGTTGCCAAACGTCAGTCTCGAAACCTTAATGACTTGGAGAAAATCTGCAAAGAGGAGTGAGACAAAATCTCTCCTGAGATGTGTGCAAACCTGGTGGCCAACTACAAGAAACGTCTGCCAACAAGGGTTTTGCTACCAAGTACTAAGTCATGTTTTGCTGAGGGGTCAAATACTTATTTCCCTCATTAAAATGCAAATCAATTAATAACATTTTTGACATGCGTTTTTCTGGATTTTTTTGTTGTTATTCTGTCTCTCACTGTTCAAATAAACTTACCATTAAAATTATAGACTGATCATTTCTTTGTCAGTGGGCAAACGTACAAAATCAGCAGGGGATCAAATACTTTTTTCCCTCACTGTACATAGTCACCCAGTTGTATATAGTCAACCTGCGTCCACATGATAACATATCATTGAGTTGGGTGGACTATTATATAATAAATATATATAATTGGTTCTTTCGGTAAAGTCACATAGAAGGGAAACAATAAAATAATAAAAATATAAAACAATAAAATTATCATGACGTTTCGACTGCAACACAAGCAATCATCATCAGGTGTGAAAACCACAACAATAAAATTTGAAAAAAAGTGGCGGTTATTTTTAACGTTAGCACCACTGAGAGAGATTTGACAGTTTGTTCAGTCCATCTATGTTCGGAAAAGAGGGGGAGACGAAAAATAATGGTTGCGGTCTGAAAGCCACCTTAAGCGTGATCAATCAATTAAGACCTGAAATGGTTTATCAAATCCTTCCAATGATTGCTAAGCCAGAATCCATCTTATAGGTTGAAATTGTCTCTGTGTTTGTATATGTGGATAGCCTCATGAACGAATCTCTCATGGTAGCCAGATGGCTTGCAAAGAACCTCTGTCTTGGAGAAGTCAATGTCATGTGAGCCTACCGAATTATAACAGTGATCTTCCACGGCCGAGGTGTTGGTCCTACCGTGTTTCAGGTCTGCTTTGTGCTCACAAATGCGGTCCGAGACATGTCGTTTGGTTTCTCCAATGTAACTACTACCACAGAGGCAACTTAGTTTGTAGAAACGTCGTGAGAATTTTATTGTTTTATATTTTTATTATTTTATTGTTTCCCTTCTACATGACTTTACCGAAAGAACCAAGAATATGAATCCCTGCAGTCACGAAAGCTTTAATCAAAACATGCTTATACCTTCAGCAAGACTGCGTCTCAGAGTGCTACACTACACATGTTGTCAAAAGTCAACATATGCCTGTACTCAAATGAACACTGGGTGGTGCTCATCGTCAGAGGTTATCTTGTGTCAGTGATGGAAATTCCACATTCATACGGTAAGGCCTATACTCCCCTTTACAAAACCACCTCCCACTGATGACATTCTATGAAATGGAGACGTCCCACTAGGTGGTAGGTATTTTATACACCCTGGAGGGATGATGGCATGAGTTGATACCGGCAAAAATTTGAGCCCATCATTTCATTACAGAGGGTTCTGCTGGCCTAAATAATAGTTTCTGATCATATAGATGCAACTTTTATTTTGTTATTCCTTCTCTGAACTAGCCGATATGCAAAAAGATAATATAAATAATAATTGAAATAATGCGTTTACACGATGGTAATCAACATATTTGTACACTTGGTTACATGATGATGATTCACGATGCATCGTTGCATGGGTCATTCGCAAACCCGAGTCAGTGACTCGACAATCTATTGGCTTTAACCCAAAATTACAGCAACTTCCTTCTGCCCACGAGATCTTATCTTATTTTATATTCATAGAGCAGCTTTGATGAAAACGATTAACATACTTAAACCGGTTATAAACAAGTAAATTATTTAGATGGCAGGGGCGTGCAAAGGATGAGGAATGGGTGACCATGATAGAGGGTGAGCAGGGGTAAGGAAAGCGTAGGGAAGGAAAGAAATGGAGGTGGCGGGATGTCAACTACCTCGCCTGGTATACAGGAATTAGTGGGTTCGATCCCAACCCTGGTACCTGTATATTTGGAGTGTGCATGTTCTCCCCGTGGTCATGTGGATTTTTCTCCGGGTCCTCCGCTTTTTCCCTCCACATTCCGAATGAATATGCGCTTAAGACTATTTGGCTGCTCCTATAAATTTCCGCACCATAAGTCACTTAATTGAGCTGTCATTTGTGATAGCCAGGTCACATAGCTCAGTGGGGCCTTACCTGGTAAAATAAAAAAAGAGTTATGTTTAGTTAGTTCAAGAGAATGGGCAACGGAGAAGAGGTGAGATTTAAATGAAGGATGGAAGGAGGTGGAGGAGGGAGCTGCTTAGGAAGTTTAGAGCCCTTGCCTTGTTTGACCCACAGAGACCATAAAAAGGTGAACACACTCTTCATTAACAATGGCCTATGAACTTTTTTTTTTTATAATTCATAATCAACATTTTGCTCTACAGGTCGCCAAACTACATTTTATATACTTTGTACGTATGTGTGTAGAACTACTTTCGCACCTTACGTAGCCAACCGTGATAATCGGAGTTGTGAATTTTATAGCAGAGTTACTGAGGAATGTTTAGAGGTTTTTTTTGTGTTCAGCGCGTTACGATGAGCAAGACGCCCGTGACGGGCGGTGTCAGCCGAGCGTGGGAACGAATACGAACCAAACTGAACACTGACGCAAGTAACGTAACCGATGGCATTCACAACACACTGCTTCCTGACCCGCCCCTACTGTACATCTGTGAAAAAGAGCTTCATAGCTCGTCGCATTTCTCGAGGATAAATAAAGATTCTGATTCTAAATAAAGCGATACACGCGGGCGCCTCTCACCGGCGAGAAGTGCGTGCAGTTCGTCGTCCAAATTCCTCATCCATCTCAGGAGGCAGCTGGTCCCCTGCATTACAAAAAGACAAGCGCACGGACACACAACGCCACGGCAAACTCTCAGTCGCTGGCGCCACGGTGCGTGCGTGCGTGCGTGCCGCGTTAGACGCCCGTCGAGGCCACCTGCGGTGGTCGTGTTCCACCCGCTGGAGGTCACGGTACACCCCGTATCTGACGCACTGCAGAGGACTGCAGAGGACTGCAGAGGACTTCAGCGCATTGCAGTGGTGTGGGTGCTGCAAGCATGTGCTCTATCACTGCGCATCGCAGCTCTTCTATCATATATAATTCACTAGTTCAAACATAACCACAACTCTTGGAAGCTCTAAGTAGTTGGACCTCCCTTACAATAATTTACCCAAGTAGAATCCAGTACGCTTTCATTTCAGCACTGTTGCAGACGCCATTCCCGAGTGAGAGGGTAAACTTCACTTAACTTATGTCCTGTGCACATGTGCGGGCAGTGCTTGTCTCCCACATCATTTCCCATTGCATCTATTTTCTATTTCTTATGTCCTTATTCTGAAAATAGCACTGTCTTCTGATGTATCTTGAACTTCTTTCGCACCGTACGCAGCCAACCGTGCTTGTTGGAGTTGCGGGAGGCACGGTCTTCCGAATACATATCCTGTCCCTCGTATGTCCCTCTTCTGAATACGTCTTCCATCTTTCTCATTATTTATCTGATATACGTCTGCGGCCTGTGGCTCCCCAAGTGGTCGCATGCATTTTATTCTCCGGCTCCTCTGGTTTTTCCCTCTACATTCAGGAACATGCGTCCTTTAGATTCTTTTGCTGCTGTGGATTTTCAACGTCGTTGAGCTATCATTTGTGGCAAGGTTACTTCTGAAAAAGATGCTAATGGCTCAGTGGGCCTTACCTATTAAGATTAAAAAATTAGTTTAGTTTTATTCGTATATATATTTTTTAAGCGATTTGTTTACCTTGCCTATAATTTGCACTCCCTATCGTGCTGTTTGTATTATTTGTTGATGTAACGTTCTGACCTGACCCCCTACTGGACGCCTGTGAAAAATATCTTCATAGCCCATCGGATTCCTCCAGCATAAACATTCTGATAGCGATTCTATTTAAAGCGGTGACGTCACTGCATCGCCACGCGCACAGTTGTCAGGGTCGCAGGGCCGCACTCGGGCCTGCGCCGAGCACCTTGTAGAGGCTGACAAAGGACCCGAGGAAGGCCCCGAGGCGGAAGTTTTCACGGTGCACGAGCGTGGGGAGGACGCGCGAGGGCCGTGTGAACAGGTGGCGAATGGCGGCCGGCACGCGCAGGCAGCACTGGATCAGGTAGCCGACGCTGAACATCCGCACGAACGCCTGACGCGCACGCCAACGGTGAAATCACACACGCACAGGATCACACACACACGAGCAGCATAATCACATAAAATGCAGTGCCATCACTCTCACCGACACAAAACCAGCAGAATCGTACTTGCACGAATAGCACAATCGCACACACGGACAGCTCAATCGCACAAACGCAGAGTGCATAGTGGGTAGGCCTGCATCAATGTCTCAATTCGGTGCAGGTTGCTCCGGTAAAAAAAGAGGTCCACGTTTTTCTAGCGTGCGGCAGAGAGGTCAATGACCGTGGCCGAGAATACAGGTGTGGCTGGATGCTGTCCCAGGGTCACATCGGGTAACGTAAGAGATTATATATGCTTGACAGAATAGCCTCGACCATCAAAGGATCCAGAGCTAACCTTGAAGCTGTAATAGATGCAGTTTTCATTGTGATGCTTGCAGCATCGGTGCCTTGGGCCACTCTTGACGCTGCACGCAGTTGGCCGGAAACAACGACAAAACACATTTCTCACCGTTGGGCATCGCTTATTTCACTATAATAGAGACTTGCGTATTCACACAAGCTTGGGAGGAAATGCAAGTTTTGCCCTTGAGCGTTATTTACGGACGGCAAGTTACGTACATACGTATGTTTGTGGGACGTCTTTCGCACCATACGTAGCCAACCGTGCTGATCGGAGGTGCGGGACAACCGAGAAGTTAAGACGCGTTTGTCGAAAGTGGCCGAAAGTGAGACTCGAAAGTGGCCGAAAGTGAGACACGAAAGTGAGGCACATGGGTGGTGGGGTACGGCGGTAGGTGTGAGGATATCGCAGAAGCGGTGACGAGCGAGGAAGTGGTGAGGATGGCAGCGCTGTCACCAGGAGCGGAGAGAGTTAAAGGGGATGACTGCGCGTGAGCGGGGAGTGGGAAGTGAGCGAGAAGGATGCGGTGACTGTGCGTGAGTGGGCAGCGTGCACTAAATGCGCGAGTTCAATCATGCATTCTCCTTGGAATAGTGTCGCTAACACCATTACTGCTCTCGACTCTGTCGCTTCACTTATCGTGGCCTGCAGCAGTAGGGTAATAATTAACACCCGTCTATGGGTGCGCGTTGCTTGTTGCAGTTGTAAAAACAAAAAAAAGGTCCCCTGATTGGACGGATCAGATCACAAGGGTGGTCGTTGTTGTGGCAACGACGACAAATTGAAAATCAACATGGTGGAAATTTTTCACGTTTGAAGCAATTGACGTGTTCAATTATAAGAATCCACCCTTTGCTATTTCAGATATACTTTATTTGAAATTATTTTGCTTCTGAGTTCCTCCTAGGTAACACTTTCCCACTATAGCTGAGAGTGTTTATGCATTACCTCTGTACATTAGTCCGTATATGGTATGGACACTATAACGCTAGTATCGATGATCCAATATTGCCAATGCTTTGGTATAAACGTGCGTCGCTACTGGTGCACTGAAAACTATCAAAATTGTCAAGCTTTGCCGAAACTTTAGAGGCGTAAAACCAGAGGCAAGAAAAAAGACAACATGCATACGTGCAAACGCGCTTTATCCTGACAGCTACCCGCCGGCTTCGCTGGTGCCAACACTTACCGGGATCAATTCCAGGTTGCAATTGTCAGAGAGAATCCTTGTGCATGGTATTGTTTTTCTTAATACGTCTATGGTGGCAGTACAGGTCGAGGAGTGGGACTTTTCCTTGCTTAGGGGGTCCCCCCTTTGCCTGGTTCAGGTGAGCACCTTGGCCTGGGGCTGTGCAGGCCAATGGGTGGAGAGAGTCTTGGGAGGTCTGACTTTAGGCCTCCTTGAGACTTTATTAACAATTAAAGAAATGGGGCTGTGCACATTTGCGGATGGCAAAGGGAGAGAGTTGCACGGTTTTAACTACGGGAAGGCTACGAAGGAAGGGCCATCGTCACAATGCCCGCTCATAAACATTTCTTCTTTTTTTAGGACACCTTCATTCAGAATCTGAATATTTATTTATGCTGGAGGAATCACAGATGACCAGTAGGGGCACTGGGGTCAGACCGTTGCATTCACGAACTTGTTTTTAGCTTTTCGCTCAAACGTTTGTCACCCAACCACGGCGGGCCTCTAGGTCTGAGCGAGCAGGACGGCATCCCCGGGCACCACGGCAACGTTTATCACGCGGCGTAAGCCCCCCCCCCCCACCCCACCCCACCACCGGCGCGCGCATCATTCACAGACGGACCGCGCGCTCATTACAGGAGGCGGACGAGGTAGCGGATGAGTGCCAGGCGGGACGGCCTGTCGCCAGGAATCGCCGCCGCCGCCGCCGCAGCCGCCGCTGCCGGTCGCTCCGAGTCGTCGGCACGTGCCGCGGCCGCCCGGTCCACTGGCAGCGCCTCGGGGGCGTGGTCCAGCCGCTCCTCCTTGCCCACCAGGAACCTGCGGTGCGTGCAAGCACACGTGACATGACGCGACATGACGTGACGCGGTGGGTGGGGGCAACCGTTGTCGCACACCGCTCAACGCCGGCGACGTAGCCATGGCAACCTACGTGGAGGGGCGGTAAGAGTCAGGATTTTACGAATAATTTAAAATCTGATTTTTCTTATTTGAATTCAATATACACTTGAAAACACCCACATATAAACTATGGAAGTTAACCGATTCCCTCCCCCCCCCCCTTATTTTGGGGTGGGGGGCCTAACCATTTAACTCTTGGATTTCAGAGTCTCCTAGGAATAATAATAGGTAGGTTACGAGAACAATGGGATTGTGGTTGTATTCTAGAAAGACTGGCCCTGCCATGAGAATGTTTTAAAACATGGTGATACTTTGGCTCGATCGTATTTACACGCTTCAAATGTGTGCCCATGACCAAACCCGACGGATCTCGACAAATCTCGAAAGCTACGCAGCACTGACTCTGGGGAGAGCGATCACCATGCAAAACAGCTGTTGTAGGTTGCGGCCAGCAGAGGGCATTGCAGAGAAAACCATTGTCGGACTGTGGCTCTATGCTCCCGTGTCCTACGCTCCCCGCCTTCACCAACCTGCACTGACCAGCGTGGTGAAGTATGGTCAAATAACCCCCGCAACCAGCACAGCGTGCGGAGGTCCTCATCTAGTAGTGGATGTGCATGCAATTACTCATCACGGAAGAGGCAGACAAAAACACGCTCGCAGGCATTGAATCTCAGTGGGAACTTGTTGATTCAAAGCGAGGGACCTGCAGGAAGCCTGGGGGACCGTGTAGGTCAGCGTGGGGAGGTTTTATTTGCGTTCGCAAACGTAAGGTGTGCAGAGGAATAACTCGAATTCGGAAAGAATTTGGCCATGGGAAATTCACATAAATATCAAACGCACGGGAATACTGCAGGTGGTGACTAAACAGCAATGCCAGGAAGTTAATTCTTTAAAGGAAACATTTGTGGTATTTAAGCGGAGAAAAAAGTTTACGTTTGCCATTTTTGGCTCTGCTGTTTCCATAACAAGCAATGTCATTGTTTCCGAAGTTATATTTAATCATGAAACGCCTGTGTGAAGCTAGGTGTTGCTTTGAAGCCCCCGTAAAGTACCGAAGGCTGCACACACAACGGATTTTTATAATGTTGCCTTCCATGCAGTGGCAATGGGACAGGGTGATCCATTAATAGATACTGATTTATTTATTTTGACCCTATTGGGATTGAATACTGTGAAAGTGATGGGCCCCCATATCTCGCAGAGGAGAGTGTCAAAATATGGTTTGCTGTACGTGTGGAGGATATGGTACAAAACATTTTCTTCTCCGTCTCCATATTTATGCTGGGCGGTGGTTTTTGTATTTCTGTAACTTTCTGATCTGCCCCTACTCTGGACATATTTTAAAAAGAGCTCCGTAGCTCGTAGGATTCCTACTCCAGTCTACATAAAGATTCTGATTCTGGCGGCGGTGGCTATGCATGTGGCCTCTAAGCCAGCACCGTGGAGGCAGCAGCGAGGTCCGGTGGATCACCGCACAAACAGCGCCGGATTAAGGCACGGGGCTTTAGGGGCCGCAGCCCAGGGGCCTCCGCCCGCTGGAGGGCCTCCAGAGATGAAGTGAAAAGTTACTTCACTTGTGAATGCTGAATTTTATTTGTTGTTAGCTTTTGTAAAAATACATTTTATTTTTCTTTAACTTTGTTTTCCTTTTGAAAATATTACTGGGGCACCTCACAGTACCACCTGTAGCCCAGGGGACTACACAGTCTTAATCCAGCCCTGCGCACAAATGTTGGGAAATTCCCTCCCCTCGGGCATTGAGGAGATGCCCTTGCCCTGGCTTGCCAGGAGAAGGTGGTACAGCAAACGTGGACTCATAATTTCTCCCTTCTGTATGGGATAGAGTGTTGCAACCTCCCAGGCGTAGGTTTTCTCGGGTGCTCCGGTTTCCTCCCACACGTAAACACTCATTAATTGACCGAAACAAATCCTAATATGGAGAGGGCAGCACAGCTTTGGGCCAATTGTTTGGCAAAAGGCTGAACACCTTTGGCTGCTGCCTTTCTGTTTGCCTGCGGTTCCTCGTGCCTCCGGGTGGCTCTCCCTCTCTCTCAGAGCGCGAGCGTTACGAGTTGAAATTATTACTCGTTTTAGCGGGGTATCTGTACACAGTAACGTGCACCATACAGAGCCATCGTGTCCGCAGGTGAGAACACCACCAACAAGGCGCTGCTTTTGAGTGGGGGGGGGGGGAGAAACCTGAGCGTGATCCAATTTATGTCAGTCAAAGCCATGGACGAGGCCCTCCCAATGCTGTGTATGGGTAATTTGGCCAAACTTGGCCAGGCTTGGCGAAAACGGTGCACGTAGACGTCGGAGCATAGTTCAGCACAACAATGGATATTGCTGGAACATGCCCATTATTATTTATCTGGCCAGCCTTCTAATGGTCCCCTACCATGGCCTCCCCCGTGCGTCAAACGATTCTGCACCTCCGTGGACTATAGTCATAAATGGATCTATTCACTCATTTTTTCCAACGAAATGCCCAGAAATAACATTGTTCGCGCGCCTATGGCTTTACAAAAACGTTTTGACGATGTTATTAACACTGAGCTCAGACGCTTAATACCCACAGGGGAACTCCAACACGTGCGTGCACTCACGCAGGCCTGTGCACAGCAAGCAGAGGTTCAGAGTGCAAACGGCTTTTGAAATGTGATGCCTATATATATTTGTTAATACTGACGCGCGAGCACATGGAGCCACTTTGCTCCTACAAAAGTGAAAACTAACTTCAGGAAACAACCTCATTGTGCCAGATAAGCTGCTCGAATCGCACGTGGCTGCATCGGCTCAACAGCCGCGCTTTGTTTTTGAATGGTTCGGTATCCTAACACGGGCATTACGAATCCTTCGAGAGCCCAGGTATGTCAAACATATAACTTGTAGGGGATGTCCCTTTGCAAAAATGAGAAGTGTGCACGAAACCTACTTCAATGCCGAGAATGAGAAGCCCTTGAGACCATCTTTACACCTGCGGAGGAAAATACAAACACATCAAAAATACTGACTTAGGCCATGTAAATACAAAGCGATGTTTATGAGTCACTTGACTTGGCCATGTTACCATCACCATCATCGTCGTCATCAAAGTCCACTGCCTATGAGTTGTTCATTCCACTGCAGAACTGTTGCCTGGGACTTGACAAGTAGATGAGAAACCTGAGTGAGGCTGAACATCTTATTGCGTCTCTGCGCGCACGCACCAACACAAACTTGGCATTGTGTTCGGGTTTCTATTTTTTTTATTCGAACGACAGCTTATAAAAGTTGACGAGCAAAAGGCCACGGAAAATGTTTAACCCACTGCATTATTGCACCCCAGTGGATTTTCGACAGCCAACCCTGTCCCAAATCCCAACTGTTTAGTAAATTGCCGGCAACGTAAGTTGCTCCGCGTTATTTATGGGGGCCCATATATGAGAGCTGGTCGCGAAAGCATCGTTAAGTATTTCCAGGTTTAACCTTTTATTGCCGCCCATTTCAAAATGCCAGGCTAATGATGGTCGCGAAGCCAAGGCGATGTGGGTTTAAAGTTACTGTAATTTTAAACGGCACAAAAATCCAACAGATCTCCTTATATTTCTGGCTTAACATACACCTCCCCCCCCTCCCCCGTACCATCTACCACCACCCACTCTTAATTGCTATCAGCAACGTCTGTGATTGCAAGATGTAACATTTATGCTTGGAGATCCCGCACCAAGCGGGCGTGACATCCTGTGCCAGTGTGACCGCAAAGAAGATGACATCGCACAAGTAGCTGTCTCTACTTCGAGTTTGATCCCCGGCGTGTGTTCAATATTTGCCACGGGGTTCGTAGAGCAGCGCACCAACCGCTACACTACCACTCCCACTAATTATATACACACACACCCACAAATGCACCTGGCTTGCCATGCTCGATCTAGGTACTTGCCAACAAACACATGGAGATCCCCCCCCCGATATAGCCTGAACAGACTGTCGGAGGAAGTGCTCCAAACGAGCACCTATGAAGGCTGGTCGCGGCAATCTAGTGGGTGGGTGGCCAGCACCACGCGGGGCCACCTTTGTCTCCCCAGAGCTGATGTTTACATCCTGCACCAGGTACTCATTTAAGGCCGAGTCGACATCAGGAAAGCCCACGGCCAATTCAAATGTCACTGGTGTTGGCCGTGAGCGGGATCAGGTCGCCGGGTTCGTAGCACTGCACGCTAACTGCTACACTACCGCTCCCCTACACAAAAACAATACACACACAGACACACAATGACAAAGGGTTTAGCTACGACAAAGCAATTTCAATGAGGCACTGATGCTCATCTGCTGTTCGCAGCCCTATAAGAGCCAGTGGTGGAGATTTCACTCTCCTATGGTGGGGGGGCATGTCTATCCATCGGACGGACAACAGCTGTTCATCAAGTGGTACCCAATTCATCATGCCAGAGGGATGATGTAAGTATGTTGAACTTATTTCGCAGAGTATGTCGCCAACCGTGCTAATCGGAGGTGCAGGACCTCTGATTAGCACGGTTGGCACGGTTGAGGCTATGATGAGAAAAGTCAACCCCAAACTAGGAATTGAACTCGTGACCTCCCGACTGCGAGCCGCTTGCTCTACGGCCGAGCCACCGGGCAGTCTAGTGCTGAGCCACACGCGATAACAATGTTGATAGACTTTTTTTATATAGCACCTAAATACAACGGCAACTTCAGACACTATACATGGGCTACAAGAAGGAAAATGCTGACACATAAACACACACAGGGGGGGGCGGGAGACTAAAATCTCAAGCAGCTCGCTCAAGTCTAATTAAGATATTCTTGGTTCTTTTGGTAAAGTCACGTAGAAGTGAAACAATAAAATAAAATAAAACATTGTTTTATATAAAACAATAAAAATATTGCTTTATATTTTTATTGTTTCCCTTCTACGTGACTTTACCGAAAGAACCAAGAATATGAATCCCTGCAGTCACGAAAGCTTTAAATCTAAATCCAATTAGGATGTTAACTACCTCGCCTGGTATACAGGTCGCAGGTTCCATCCCGACCCTGACGTTTGTATGTTCGGAGTTGGCGGTGTCTCTCTTTCTGTGGTTGTGTGGATTTTTCTCCGGGTCCTCTGTTTTTAATCCCTCTGCATTTAGAAACATGCATTTAGAGTATTTGGTTGCGATACATTTCCACATGATAACCACTTCAATGAGTTATCAATTGTGGCCAGGTCACTTCTGAAAAACAGCTGTATAGCTCAGTGTGCCTTATCTGGTAAAATAAAAAATAGTTTTTAGTTTAACAGTTAGTAGGATAAAAAAATAATTTCATAATTAACCAAGAACAAAAAAAAAGCCAGATTATTCACGACAAAAGCTTGGTCTCGTCGTTTACAGAGCGCTAATGAATCCATCAAACATCACGGCGCTACGGGACTGTCGCCCAGCGTCAGGCCAAAACCACCGGGAGACATCGCTTTGAAATCGGAATCCGAAACCGCGTCGCAACTGGCGCAAGGGGAACAAACCCCTTGTGGGCGCCGAGCATGTTATACACGACAGGGCACGTGCCGGTAACACCCACCCCCCCCTCCCCGACATCTCTGATCTCTCGCGCTACTGCGGGGCACTATGATTATGGTTATTATCAAAGCGCGCCGTCGGCTGCGAGGCTCGTTGAACACCGCACGACGAGTGTGATGGCGCTCCCCACCGTGGCGGTGTCTCTGTTCACCGAATCGGCGCCCGCCTGTGACCCCCGGGATTTCTGATCCTCGCGTTTCTTTTGTAATTTTTTTACGCGCAGAATTTAACCCCCCGGGGTCGCGCGCCATTGGCACTGCGCCGACGGAATACCGCGCATTTGGACGTTTCTCGCGGCAGTGCAAACCGTTCATCTGTCGGAGAACGGCCGGTGGAAGCGGACCATCGCGGAGTCTGCTTCCGTGATGGATGCTGGTCCGCACCATACAAAGCAACACTTTTTCCACCTGCACTGCCCACCCATGAGAGAAAATAAATGTATTGGTGGCATATAACAAAAAAAAAAGCTCAATGTTGACAATGATTATTTATTTTCCCGCAATTCGCAACCCCGGTCAGAAAATCTTGCCGGGGTGGTGGCGCGTCAAAATCAGTTCTCGTCATGTCGAAGTAGTCGGAAGACGAATGTCGGTTCAAATTTATATTACGGACTGTTTCATGAGGAGCGGTGTGTTACGGCGCACCGGTGTAACCGCCAATACGTCCCAATGTTCGTTGCCCGACAGTCAAAGCGACATTGACATTTTCGGAGCTCGAATCAAGCGAAATTATTTGCAGACTCAACTTTCATGTGAATGGGGTATTTTTGTGCAGTCACTGGTGACCGGGCAGAGATAATCAACTCTCTACACTTAAGCAACCGCTTTTAATCGCTGCCTGCTGCCTGGATTTGAACCCAAGATCTCTATTTATTTAAAACTAAATTAGAATTTTTATTTTTTACCAGGGTAAGGCCCACTGAGCTATGTAGCACTTTTTCAGAAGCGACCTGTCTTCCACAAATGATAGCTCAGCGAAATCAGCTTATCACGTGGAAATGTATAGTAGCAGCCAAATACTTTAAAACGCATGCTTCTAAATGTAGAGGGAAAAACAGGAGCACCCGAATTTTTGTTTCATGCGACCACAGGGAGAACATGCATACTCCAGCAGGCGTAAGGGTCGGGATCGAACGCAAGACCTCCTGTATACCAGGTGAGGTAGTAAAAATCTCGCAACCGTGGTGAACCGGCGGTGCCAAGTCAGCGCTCTGTGACCTTCTCGGCCACCTGACCACTGCACAATTTTTATTTCAATTTGGGCATAAGCCCATATCGCTCTGCATCCTGGGACACATGTTTGTGGCAACAAGTGTCTGCGGCTCGGCATCAAATTTGTACAATGCAAAAAGCTGCCAAAGCCAAATATGCCCTCATGTTGCCGGGTGAGTTAACCAAATCAGATGCGCAATGCATTCTGGGGAGATTTTAAGACATTGCAATGTGTTTATCTCATCTCTTCGGTAAAGTCACGTAGGTAGACACAATAATTAGTATGGATTCCTGCAGTCACGAAATCTTCAAATCAAGATTTATCGCATCTGTTTCAGTTGATTTAGGGAACACACACTAATAGTAATCAGCATTTGGCTATATGTCAAGTGGCAAGTATTAGGAATGTAGCGATACATTGGTTCATAGAGTAATATCCATTAAGGCTGATGATACATGGATAGGACGTCCTAAAGTATATGCTTTTTATTGTGTGAAATTAAATGCAAATTATATGCTCATTGTTGAATGCAGGCGAATGTGGCGGGCAAAACTCCACAAGAGAAAAGAATGAGAAACAACGCAAACAAAGTGGACAAAAGCAAGAAGAACATTTGTGCATATGCATGGCTTCTGTCACGCGCTTCCAAAACGCATGTGTTCAGAAGCACGGTAGACTCCTGATTATCCACGCTAATTACGGCGAGGGCGGTCGCGGTATATTTCAAAATCGTGGATAATCCAAAAATATAAATTTTCAGCGTGCTCAGTGATGACCCTTTCCTGCTCCCGCGCAGAAGACTCTGCCCACTTACTGGACAGCAGCAGAGCCACACCAATTAACATCAAACTCCACCCACTGTTGTAAAGGTCTGCAACTACTGTACTGTAGAGGCGATCACGTGGATTTCGGATTAACCGGAGCACACATTTGTTCGGTTTAAGCACGTGACTTGTAATAAACATTTCCAAGAATAACGATGTTGTGTAAATGTTTTTAGATTATTAATTGTGGCTTAAGGGAAAATGCATAAGTTATTAATTTATGTCAAAATCTCAGGTGCGCGGCTAATCCGCAAATTGAATAAACCGCACGCGGCTTATCGAGTCTACGGTATATATCTTTTTATGAAACAGTGCATATCACCTAGCAGTCACGATGCATGAAATCAGAAACATGGACATTAACGACGAAATTGGAA